CTCTGATCCCTGCACCGCCCTGGTCACCGCACCGATCACTGCACCGCCCTGGTCACCGCACCGCTCTGATCCCTGCACCGATCCCTGCACCGCTCTGATCGCTGCACCGCTCTGATCGCTGCACCGCACTGATCACTGCACCGCTCTGATCACTGCACCGCACTGATTACTGCACCGCACTGATCCCTGCACCGCTCTGATCACCGCACCGATCATTGCACCGCCCTGGTCACTGCACCGCATTGATCCCTGCACCGCTCTGATCGCTGCACCGCACTGATCACTGCACCGCACTGCACTAACCACTGCACTGCTCTCATCACCGCACTGCACTAATTACTGCACCACTCTGCTCTAATCACTGCGCTGCACGGCGCTGCACAGCCCTGCTCTCTCCCATCACTGCACCGCACTGCTCCCCCTCCCCTGTCACTGCACCACGCTGCCCCCCTCCATCAGTGCGCTGCACCCCACCGATTCCAGTGGCTGCAGGGCACAGCTCTGCACTTTCCCAGTCTCTGCCTGGCATTACTCCTCATTCAAACCGATTCCCCGCCACTCAGTGGCACCTCCAGATGGCTGCAGTGCCTCCAAGAACTCCCCTACACCGTCCTTCCTCCAGGCATGGCACGGCAGGACCCCTCCGAGCACTGCACTGCCTGTCAGGCTCCGTGTCGTCTCATTGCTCTGCACCACACTGCACCTTCCTCCAGCCAAGACACTGCCAAATCTTGCAGTCACTGCAGCTGTCACACTGTACCACACCTCCCTCCTATCCAGCTGCTGCACCCCAACAGCGACAGGGCATTGCCTAGCCTCGAGTCCCTGCACTGAAGTGCACTGTATCTCCCTTCAGTTACTGCAGTGTCCAACCTCTAAGCACTGCTCAGAACAGCCTCTAACCCCTGCGCTGCTCTGCCCAGCCTAGCCTACAGCCACTACACAGAGCCTGTCTTGCTTCCAGTCACTGCATCACACTGCACCTAGCCATACCACACAGCCCAGTTTAGCACCCAGTCGCTGCCCAGGGTCACCACTTTCACACTATCCTCCAGCTTCTGCAGATTCTCACAACAGTACATACCCAACAAGATCCTGCCCAGCCACTGCATGGCACTGGGTCACCTCCCTGGGCTTCCCAGTGTCGCACAGCCTCCACCACTGGACCACACCAGGCTGCGAGGACCACACTGGGCTGCACACATCAGCTGCCCTCCCACAGCACAGCACAACTCACACCCCGCAGCCGGGCCCGCACGGCCCTCGGCATGCAGCTCCCATCACGTTACTGTCTCCGCCTTCCCACTGCACAGCTGCCACATGAACACTGCAGTGGTGGGGCCAGCCCCCACCTCACGCTTCCCACAGCCACTGGTCCCACAGCCTTGCTGGGTACCCCAACACTCATTAGGCATAGGGCAAGTGAGAAACACAAGTATAAGGCAGCACAGGGAAGGAATGATAAAGAGGGAAATTATTAGGCACAGGGAGGGAAAAGTCATCTGAAAGGAAAGAGACTGTAAGGGATAAAACTGCATCTTCAGGACAGCTAAGCAGCCCGAAGATTTCCTGTTTCCACTCTCCATGAGTCACTGATAACACAGGGAAAACAAAAAGGCACGTGAGTTTAAGGGAAGCTAAGATCATGTCCAGTGTGGTGGCAGCTCCCACTGCAGACAAGCCCAGGTGCCAATGCCGACTGGCTGACAGCTCCTTGGATGGTGCAGGGCTGGCTGAGCACTGCCCAAGCCCGCTCCCCAGCTCTCGGTGAGAGGCAGAGCCCACACAGGTTGCAGGGAGAGCTGGCAGGGGCTCACACAGCCCCATTTCACAGCCAGAAACCCCACTTTGAGTGCAGCACGAGTGAAGTCAATGCAGGTTGGCCACAAGCGTGGCACCCACACAGCCCGGCTGGCAGAGCTGTCACGCTCCTCTGCAGAGACACGGGGGAGACAAGTGCCGCACTAACATCCTATTAGGTTTTTCGGATACCAACAACTTCTAGATGCAGCACAGGAGACAGACTCATGCCAACACCCAGGTATCACCAGCACCAAATATACCCCCAAGTAGGTGGAAAGGGCCCAGGATCACATCCACACAGCCCCATCCACCTGCAGGTTTGCCCCCCCGGCTGCTGCCTGCACCAACCTGCAGCTCCCCAGGGCTGACCCACTCAGAACATTGGTCACTCTCACCCGGCTGAGGCAGCTCCTTCCCTCTGGCTTCACCACAAGCCAGCAGCCAGGGACTAGCTGGGCAGGCTCCTCTGCTGGCCCCGGCTCAGCCACGGGGCTCGTTTCCTCCAGTAACCCCACCGACTCCTGCACTGCGTCACGTCTGGCTGGAGCCGTTTTGCTTTACAAACACTTGCTTTATGCCTGATCCTCTTTGACTCTTCATCCGTGTAAGCTGGGTCTCTTCTCCCTGCCTTGACCCCCTGTGCCCCGGTGACACGGCGCTGCCCGAGACGCCTGCCACCTCCGTGCCACATCTGCTCCAACCATCCTCAAACCTCACCTAAACTGCCCCGGCTCTACTGCTTGCGCACTCAGAGCTTAAAGCCTGCGGTCTGCAGGCAGAGCGGGTGATCTGCTTTTGATGACGAGATAAGCAGGGACCTACAGCAGGAAGCCAGATAACGACAAGGCTGGGGCTTGCCCCTGAGCCTGCATTTGTCACTTGGAAACTCTACCCCCTGTTATCAGGTGTCAGTGTGCTGGAAAGAGCCCAGGATGAAGTCACGCTCCTTGCCAGCCTGGAAGAAACTCAAGAGGCGAGTGCCGTGCATCTCTGGAAATCAGGTACCAGCTCCTGGCAGCTGTCTAACAGCCATGTGATGAATTAAGGCAATGATTAGTGGAGTGATTTGGTTTGAGTAGCAGGACTTCAGTCTGAACATGTTCCTACTTAGCTTACACGTTTCATTCGCAGGCAGATGTCAAGCTGGATGTTGCTAGGAGATCGACAGCAGGGGAATAATTAAGTCTGATTAAATCCTATCGTATTGCCGTGTCGCTTTCCAGAATGCTCTGGAGCTTTTCAAAGCCAAACTGACCAAATGAAAGGGTAAGACCTGTAGCCCATCCTACTCAACAGAACCCACTTGCGGCTGACCCACTGAGCCCGTGGCTGTCCACGTGTCTGCAGAGCATTTCCCGGAGCAATGCCGGCCACGAGCTAAGAAAAAAAAAAGGCTCTGGCAAAGGGCATGGCTGATGGCTGTGTTAGCAGACAACACAGGACAGTCAGGACCAGTCGCTGCCTAGAGTAGGCAGTAAGGGGTCCTACATCCCATGTCTCTACAGCAACCCTGCGTGCTGCTTGGGGTGCTCATGTTGGTTTAGACATAAACCAGTGCCCTCAGCACATATACACACCTGGTTCAAAGCTGTGCAAGGGGCCAGGAGCTGGTTCAGCCGCTCACGTCCCCGGTGGGGCTTGGGCACATCAGGGTGACCATCAGCAAAGTTTCCTCCTTCCCTTCCTCTAGAAGGAGCCCGCCTGGGGCATGCCAAAATTGCTCTGCAAATGCACGTCACATGTGGTGCTGAGCAGCACAAGGCGTTCCTGCTGAAATGATGCCTGCTTGCTTTTTTCTTTCATGGTGGCTGAGCCACACATTATATGGAGTGACACATAAAGGTAAATAACAGCTACAGGTTCTTTTCCCATCAGTAAATAAAGTTTTGTTGTAACTATCTGCATCAGTTGCCAAACACACACACACACGTCAGTCTCTGGACTCACTCTGTAGCGAGACTGCTAATCTCATTTTGACTCTCTGCCCTATAAAAATTCTCATTCTAATACGCGCACTGTAATCCTTGCCCTCAAATTACATGTCATCAAATCAGACCTGATACTAATTAATGTAGCATTTTATTACTAATTAAATACCACTAAATACCACAGCAAAGATCTCTTTCCAGTAATGACTAGATAATGATTACCTCTGCTGATGCACAGGCTTGGGAAATGCAATCTGGGCTGTAACATACTCATATTTTGGCTTTATCTCTCCGGCCAAACTTGTTTAATCTCACACACTCAGTACATATTATTCTTAAACACAGGCTCTGTGTTGAGCGTGATCAGTCTGTGGACAGCACTTTTCATTTCTGGTGTTCTGGCTACTCTAAGAAGAGAAAATGTTAAAACAGCATCGGCAGCAGGCCCACACAAAACAAGTTAAAACAAACTGAACTTGGCTGAAAAATCCTGCCACCCTCCAGATGTTTTCAACAGCAAAGAGCCACACTTACCACTACGGGTGCAGGTAAACACCCAGAGCCTGCCTGGACGGCTCCCCGAGCACTCTGCCTGACTGGACCAGGCTTCGCAGGGTCTTCCTCAGATGAAATGATCCAGTGGTCCCACCCGACACACGGCCGTGCGAGTGCGAGCAGCCGGCCAGCGCACCACTCAACAGTTCAGCTCCTTGCATTAATTCCAATACGCTATGTTTGGTTCACGCATATTTTCCAAGAAAGGAGGTAGGCTTGATTTGAAGACAAGCGTTGGAGACTCCCACCTTTCTGGGTCTGTTTCAGGAGTCCCTCACCCTCACGTTCAGAAGAGCAACCCACATCACTGCGTCTGGCTTCAGCTTGCAGACGTACCATTTTGTTCTGCCTTCTGCTTGATTAAAGAGCCTTTCAGAGCCTGGCATTTTGTCTTTGTGACACTACACATATGCTGCAAGCAAACCCCCTCTCATCTATTTTTCTGAT